GTGCAGCAATACCCACTTTGCACGGAGGTTCAAATCAGACTGAAACCAATGGTGCATCGGTTTCTTATGTGTGGATTGTTAAGACCATCCCAATCTCCTTTCAACACGCCAATTTTGCCTGTGAAAAAGCCAAATTTGGGTAAGTGCCTAAGATTTTTAACTTCCAGGGAGAACAAGAATTCATACCCAGAGCGAATATCTGCAGGTTGACAGTCCCTCATGCTCATTACTAGCTGTGAGGTTTCCTGGAAATGGTAGGGTTTTTCCAGATTTTTATTCCTAATTTTAAATTAATTGCAAGGCCTATCAAAAGGGAGATACACAAATAAGTAAAGGCAACCGTCATTCAGACGAAGCAACAAAAAGCCACCAGAACTAACTCTATCTTAAATTTCCAGGCTTCTTTAATCCCTCAGATCTCTTTACAAGAACTGGAAGAGCCAAAATGGAGAGTATCCTCTTCATTAAGAAAATGGAAACACACTCCAGATGGTAAAGCAAAGATCCCAGGCTTTGTTAAAAGAGTTCATGAATCTTCTCACTTCAGTCGGAATACCATGTATGAGTGAGAAAAACAATGTATCTTGGAATTTAGACTATACTTAGTCATCCAGCATGTAAGCCAAACTTGCTTAACTTGTGCAGAGAATAATCCAAAATTTAAATTTAAACAAAACCTTTTACCTGAAGTCCAAGCTCAAGGGGTATATCCAGAGAAGCAATGGCAAGTAGACTTTGTTAAAATGCTACATACAGCTGGAAATTTTAAATACTTGCTAGTATGTATAGACACCTTCACTGTATGGGTGGAGGTATTTCCCTGCAGGACCAGCAAGGAAAGAGAAGTTGTAAATATAAGCACTGGTTCAAGAATCATCCCACATTTTGGTCTGCCTGCCAACAATGGGAGTGGTAATGGGCCACACCTCATTTCATCACCTGGAAACTGCATTCCATCTGATGACCCCAATCAAGCAGAAAGTTTGAATGAATGAAACATGAAGAAAAACCTTGCCTATGGCCCTATCCTGGGTGCACATAGTACCTAGAGATAAAGTTGAGCCCATTAGAGCTCCTATATGGACAGCCTTTTCCAGGAATCTTGAGCTCACAAATGGAAATAAATTTACACATATATACATACATACATACACACACATATATATATATATATATGTATGTATATATATATAATGGAATAAGAGGGTTTGTTCTTACTTGAAAGACTTGTCTGCCATGCTTTCTTCTACTCACAGGTACTCCCACTTATGTCAGAAATACCCCCATGACATTTCTGCTCATCATTTCCTTCCAGAAGAGGAAGACCTCCCATGGACCTGGAAAGATGAACCCTTTCAAGGGAAATAAAAAGCACCTTACACCGCTCTTCTGGCCACCCAAATTACAATGAGGTTAAAAGGTGTGAAACCTTAGATTCATCACAGTAGGCTAAAATGATGCACAGCATTTTATTCAAGGAATGCACAGTGTTCTTCAGAGAGTTTCTCAAGGTTTCTCTCAACATGATAAAAGGAATAGAAATGTAATTTTAAGAAAAACCAGATGGCCAAGAGAGTTGAAGAAACTGGAGGAAGATCATCCACCATTGATTACCAGTTGCTGATCCAGCAATAGCCTAAATCCACTCCAGAAGTATCATTCAATAATTTAAGATGAGCATTGGTTGTGAATGACCAATGCCCAAAAGAAAAGGAGAGAATGAGACAGTGGCTAAATTGCCCCATTTCCTCAAGTGGTTGATTATGGGCTGACCTGCTGGCTGTGGGTCAGAGTGTCCACTTCTCCTGATAACCAGCCAACCAGGCCAGTCTGTGTGATGTGGGATTACCTTTACCTTTACCTTTAGCTCATTTAGGAGTCTTCTGCATATTAACTTCTCCTCTGGGTGGAGTTTGGCCACCATTTTCTTCTCATGTATGTACTTGTGATATAATCAGTAGTAACTGTGTCTGTGTAGTATGTTTAAGAATGTAGTGATGTCGTTGTGTGATTTCCTGTTTGTAAACCCTATGAAAACAGCTTCCCTCAACTCCATCTTTGACCAGTCTTGGAAGGCAATTAGCCCCAGCTGTTCCTTTCTTTTAGATTTGAGGGAGTCTGCTTCTGTAAATACTTACGGCCTTGGAAACCCAGTGGGGGCTGTTATGAGTAGGAACTGATTCAATGGCAGTGAGTTTGGTTTTGGTTTGTTTCTCTCTTTTAGCCAAAGAAATAAAAGTGCCTTTCATCTACCTTGACTCAGCCTCTGTCATTTGGCTCTATATGGAGTCCTGCCGAGTAAACCACAGTTTTTGTGGTGACAGTTTGAGAACAGCTTTGGAGCTCAACAAAAATTTAAAGATCACAGTTCCTCAGCACATTTATCCAATTATCTCATGTGCAAATTGTTTTCTTTTTAGAATCTTGGAAATATTTAAATGAGCAAAATATTTATCCCAGCAACTCTAAAGGTTCAAGTTTCCTTCAAAATGAAGGAAATGAGGTCTTGAAATATGTATGCAGTATCCTCCCTTTACACACAGTCAGGAATCAACTGTCTTGCACCGAGAGGGAGAGTGTTATCTCCACAGTTATCCATTTACTGATAGTTGTTGTTGTTGTTAGGTGGCAACCAGTCAGTTCCGACTCACAGCAACCCCATGCACAAAAGAATGAAACACTGCCCAGCCAGTCCTGCACCATTCTCGTAAGTATTGCTATACTTGAGCCCTTCATTGTAGCCACTGTGCCAATCCATCTCCTTCAGGACCTTCTCCTTTTTCACTGGCCCTCTACTTTACCAAGCATGGTATCTTTTTCCACGGACTGGTCTCCTCTGACAACATGACCAAAGTATGAGAGACAAAGTCTGGCCATTCTTGCTTTTAAGGAGCATTCTGGCTGTACTTCTTCTAAGATCGATTTCTTTGTTCTTCTGTCAGTCCATGGTATATTCAATATTCTTTGGCAACATCATCATTCAAATGCATCAATACTTTTGCAGCCTTCCTTGGGAGTATTATACCCCAAAGTTAAACTATTTGATTACCTCACTTTGTATTCAATTCCCGGTTAATTTTATCTTGTCGGGGAATGGCATGTTTTCTAAATTTATAACCTCAGTATGCTCCCTATTTAGGAACAGACTCCCTGACTCAACTGCTAATTGCATGTTCAGGATACTCTTTTATTCTTCTTCAACAAAAACCCCAGAAAAGGTAATCTTTAAGATAAATTCTTACTCTTCTCCATGGGTTAAAGTCATCCCCCACTCACTCTCTTGCTTGCCACCCTCCTAATGAAAATTCTGGATGTTGTTAGTTGTTGGGTACCGTTGTTTGGGTTCATAGTGATCCTACATCATGTACAACAGAACGAGACACTGCCCAGTCTTGCACCGTCCTCATTCTGGGTATGGGAAATCGATTTTTTTTTTTTTTTTTTAAAAAGCCCAGGAATAGAATAGCTCCTTGTAATTTGATTAACACCTTTAATCTTTGACCAGTTTAGTAGTCTTGGTTTCCTGTTTCTTGGGATTTGGCCTGAGCCTAGGAGTTCCCCAAAACTCCTGGATCAAACATAAACTAAAACAAGGCTATTATTCATCAATTTCCGGGTTTATTGGCACCTCCCCATTTGAGGGAGCTCTGAGAGGTCTATCACCTAGGAAACACAATGGCAAATTCCCGGAATAGGCACAGATAGAATATTTTTTAAAAGCACATAACAAAAAACAGGGTTTAGTTAACCAAAAACCAAACCAAGCCCTTCAGTCAATTCTTACTCATTGTGATCCTATAGGATTAAGTATGTAGACTCTATAGGGTTTCCAAGACTCTATAGGGTTTCCAAGACTCTATAAGGTTTCCAAGGCTGTAAATCTTTATGGAAGCAGACTGCTTCATCTTTCTCCCATGGAATGGCTGAGCACTTTAACTACTGTGCCACCAGTGCTCCTAGGGTTAGCACACACACCCCCCATATATAAATCATGATTCAAAACTCATTGACGCAGTAGCATCTTTAGTCAGGGACAGAATCTTCAACCTGAAAATCACAAGTATGTGCACTTTTCCTAACCGAACTGGCAGTTAGTTGGGAAACAGTTCAGTAATATCCCATCCTCATATTTATTATTTTCTTCTAAAAATGAAAGCTTCACTTATCAAACTGGCCAGGCTACTGCTGATACAGTCACCATCTGTGCGCAAAGAACAATAAATATTAGACTCCAAGTTATCTGCATGGGTTGTAGAGACCCTGATTTTGGAAAAGGAAGTGAAAAGGTTCCCTCATAGAAGACATTTTGAACCTTAAAATGGAACTGCTTGCTTTGATGAAAATGGCTATGGTGTGTGTGTGTGTGTGTGTGTGTGTGTGTGTGAAAGAGAGATAGAATTGGTCTCGAATTATCCTTTCTTGTATTACAAGTTATTTAGCTTCAATTATTAGTACATTGCCTCTGTTGAATGATTAGGTGTGTGAAATAATTTCTTTGCTGATTCTGTGTACTGAGAAGACTAAACCACATTGATCCAATGAGCCCTCCTCTGTCGTTTCTTCCACATAAATTCAACCGAATTTATGGACCGCCTACCCTGTGCCAGGCACTGTGCCAGGCCCCGTGCCAGGCTCCGGAGATATAAGGATGAATGAATCAAGGTTCCAGTTTATTAACGATCTCTTAAGATTTGGGGAGCAAAGCCTCCCTCCCCGCTTCCTTGGCAGCTCCACGGCTGTCGATCCACTCACAGGTGTGAGTTCTCCACTGCTCCGGGTTTCTGAGAACACCATAATCCTGAGCCAGCTCATGAGCCTAGCACCTGGGTTCTCCCCGCGTCCCGAGAGTCAAACGCTCAAGTTCAACTCGGGAGCCTCAGGGCTCGCTCCTCATCCCCTAAGCGCCGGCGCCGGCGCCACAGCGCACAGAACTGCTTCCTTCTACCTGCCTGCCTGCCCGTCGGGGTGCGCCAGACCCCACCACGCCCGCACCCACTTACTTTGCCGTTGTCGCCCACGCCAAGAAGGTGATCTCGCAGCACCTCCATGGAACAGGTCCAGGTGGAGTGGACGAATGTCCCTCGGAAGATGTGCGCCAGGGGCGGCATCTGGGAGGCGCACATGTCAGCGGGGAGTGCCGTGCCGGGTCGGCGGGCCGAGGAAGGCGCACCTGGCGGAGGCGCAGAAAAGGCTGCCTGCAGCTGTGGGAGGCGACCAAGCGGGAACCGGCTCTGGCCTTGGTCCTGCCCCCTGCTTCCCCGGGCGATCGCCTGCCCCCTGCAGGCCGCGCCCAGGGGCTGGCTCCCTGCCTCTTCAATGCCAATGGGATTTCTCTGCCTCGAGTTGGCTCTGCGCCCCCGTGGGGTGTGGTCTTTCTCTCCTCCCCTGCGTTAGTGTTTTGATGTTGTTAACTCTTTGAGTTTCCAAAATCACTGCTCAGGTTGCAGTTCTTTTAAGTCGTCCTGGCTGAGTCACCCGCTCAGAGAGCGGGAATTGAAGGAAGGAGCTTGAAGACCTCATAGTTCTGGCTCTGGACCTTTAACTGGACCCAAAATTTGCTTTTGCCCTTTACCTCCCCCCTTCTCTCGTTGGCAAGCTTAGAGGCTTGTCTGCCTGCTTTCTCTACCTTCTAAACTCTTACGGCCATTTATGGCCGAACCTTGGACTTCCTCCACTATATAGCACCCACAGAGTCCGAACTTGCAGAAGTTCAAGGTCTGATGAAAGGTCAGTTAGGGTTGCCTGCTGTGTCTAGTTTCTTTTTCAGTTTCCGTGGGCTGCAGGCTACATCTGTCCTAACCTGATGTTCTAGAAGTACGTCTTACAGAACCTTCCTGCAGGTTAGTATTTTGACCATCAGTCTGTCCACAAACAATTCCAGTATTAATTTTCCTCATGTCTAAAATAAATAATTCTCTTTGATTTACTTCCAGGTGTACAAGGTGAGGAATTGAAGTCCCCAAACCAAATACTGAGGAGTGGCAGGGTGGAATGGTTTGGGCAAAGAGTGCTGAATTCGGAATCAAGAGACCAAGGACAAGGCGTGGGGGTCTCAGCATCCTCATGATTCTCATTTGTGTAAATGGAATGTATACTGGGTCATTGCTCAGGTTGCTTCTGACTCAGCATTGCTTCTCTCCACAGCCACAGAGTCCTTCACTAAATTCTCCAGCACAAACCAAGCCACACCAAACCCACTGCCATCGAGTCAATTACAACTCATAGTAACTCCCACTGGGTTTCGAAGGCTGTAAATCTTCACAGAAGTAGATTGCCTCATCTTCCCCTGGAACCACTGGTGGGTTCCAAAAACCAACCTTTCGGTTAGTAGCCCGCTGCCTTAACCACAGAGCTGCCAGAGCACCTTCTCTCACGATAGCTGCTTTCTACTAAGGACCTTCGCCGGCCCTGTTCTTTCTACTCCTAATGCTCTCCTGTGTATGTTCACCAAGCTGGTTCTTCTCATCACTACTTTGCCTCAAATTGCAGGTCTTCAGAGTAATCATCCTTCACTAGCAAGCTAGGCGCACCCATCCCTGCAGTTTCTATTCTACAACTCACCTTATTTTTGCCATAGCATTTATCAGTATCTGAAGTTTTCTCATTTATTTGTTTATTATTTCTCTCTCCTCCCATCCAGACATATATACACACAAGTAATGGAAACACTGTGAGACCTTATGTCTGGAACGAACCTACTCACCTATATATATTTATTGAATAAATGAATGAATGGTGCCTTTGTGAGCACAGCAATAACCTGGTATAAATTTCTATGTTGGCTTCTGCATAAAAATTGGGGGTTTCATTGCAGTGAATGAGCAGACTTTCTCTGAATTGCTATTTGATGGCATAGGCCTAGCTGACATAAATGATGCATTCCCAGTAACCAACTCATCCCTGTTGCCAGGGATTTCCTTGGTTTTAGCACTCAAAGTCTTCTGTTCCAGGAAACATGTAACTCTCAAACAAACTGAGACAGTTGTGAGACAAGCAGTCAGTGGAAACTCTCCTAGAAACAGCCTAAGTGTCCCACCCCTAGTAACATTAAGTTTGACTTCCGTAGCTAGAGCCCCTCCCTTTTAGGAAATCATTAGCCTGGAGATAAGGAGGCACGGCTAGCCTTGCTGACAAGTTTCACGTTTTGTAACCACCCATCATGCATGACGCTATTTCCAGGTTTTGAGTCTCTCCTTACTAGGGAACACTGAGCCATAAAGAGGAAACAAGAGGCTGGAGTCTGCAATCTGTCCAAAATCAGTCCTGGCTGCAAGAGCATGCATAGAAGAAGCCAGTTGGAGACTCGGGGTGCTCACGTCCAACATAGGGGGCAAGATCACCATTTTATCCCCTCTCCTTGCCAAGTTCTGGGCCTTCTCAAACCAAGCACGCATGAATGAATTGGGCATGCGCAGATGATAAGGCCAACCATAGGACCATCTTTCTGGTCACATCAATCAGCACCATGGCTCCTCCCTAGAAAAGCCCACCAAAACCCCAACCCATAAAAACTTCAGTCTCCTTTGTTCAGAGAGCCATCTTAGTGAAGTAGGTCCGACTGGGGTCCTTTACTTGTCCAACTAACTAAAGCTTCTTCTTTCCCTTTCACCGACTCCAAGTCTCTTTAGCTGCACCAAGTGAGACCTGGAAGTCTCCAGTTACAGTTCGGTACCCTAGCAAGGATTCAGAATTAGGACTCTTTGAAGCTAAGGTCACTGCACTACATGCTGAGGTCTTTACCCCTTCCCCTGTCACTTTCTCCTGATTCTGCAGACCACATTCTCCTTTTCATCCTGGAGGCTGGCACACTGGAAACACTCTCTCAGCCAAGACCTGTATAGACACAAATTTCACAAAAAAAAAAGGTTACAAAAATGCCTACCTTTTGCTGGTCTGATAGAGCCTGGTGAACCCCGTGAGACTACAGGCCCTAGTTGCTCTTCAGGTCTGAAATTGAACCCACTCCTGTAGCTTCCAGCCAAACAAAAGACAGGCATATGAGCTGGACATTTACATTAAGTAGATACACTCCTTGGAGAAATCAATCATAGGAGAATAGAAGGGCTGTCTATGCGTAGGGAATCAGCTCAGGGGGCAGTAGTGCATGGAGGGAAGGACACAGGGAAGAGGTAACTATGGGGAGGAAGTGGGAAGAGAGCTGTTGCATTGTGGGAAATTGCAGTTAATGTCATGAGATGAAGTGTATGTGAACTGCTGTATGGAAAATGAATTTGCTCTATAAACTTGCATCCAAATCACAATAAAATTAAAAAAAAAAAAAAGCCTGCCCTTTATTCTGAAAGAGAAGTTGATTAAAAGTTTTCAAAATATATTGGGAGCTCTGGCAGCATAGTGCCTAAGGCACTGGACTGCTAACCAGAAGGCTGGTGGTTCAAACCCACCAGCCACTCCTCGGAAGGAAGATGGGGCGATCTACTTCCGTAGTGATACTGCCTCGGAAACCCAAGGAGGGGTCACTATGAGTCGGGTCCGACTTGATGACACGTAACAACAACAACACAAATACAGTTAACAAAATTTTTTAATTAACTTATTTATTTGGAAGACGTTAATTCTCAATCTGAGGCTGATCTTCAAACCATTTGCAAGGCCTTATATATATATATATATTTAATGAAAGCAACCCAAATGTCCAACAACTGAGCACTAGTTTAGTGAATTAGCATATGTCTACTTGGTAACACATTGTGCAGGGAGCCCCGGTGACTCAGTGGTTGAAGTGTTCAGCTGCTAATGGAAAGTTTGACTGTTTGAACCCACCAGGAGAAAGATATGACAACCTGCTTCTGTAAAGATTACAGACTGGAAACTCTATGGGGCAATTCTACTCTGTCCTACAGTGTTGTTATGAGTCAGAATTGACTCTACCACAATGGGTTAGATTTTGGATTTGGAGCATATTTTGCGAACATTAAAAGCAATAAGGAAAATATGGAGTCACATGGAAAAAATATATAATGTGAAGTCTTCAAAAAGGTGTTTTTCCTGTGGGTAAAATCTGTAGTTTTACTGGCTAGCACTGAAAAGTTGCACCGAACAGTGGGTATGGGTTGAGGTAATAGAAGTGCTCTGTGTAGGATAAAGAATTTAACTTTACCCAAAGAAACTGGTCTTTGCCCTTAGTTCCTGAGAGCACCAAAAAAAAAAAAAAAAAAAAAAACCAAACTCACTGCCATCAAGTTGATTCTGACTCATAGTGACCCCCATTGGGTTTCTGAAGCTGTAAATCTTTACAGAAGTAGATCACCCATCTTCCTTCCACAGAGAAGCTGGTGGGTTTGGATCTCTGACCTTCTGGTCAGCATAACCTCTAAAACTTTGGGATTTTCCCCAGTGATTAGAGTGTCTTTCATGAAGACTCCAGACCACAGCTACCAACCAGCTTATGCCAATGACATGATTCCTCTGTGGAGCCTTGATCAGGCCAGAAGGACCTACCTCATGATATCAGCCCAGCCTCAGGGGAGAGGACATGATTCAATCACTTTTACCTATGTTAAGTCCCAATAAAGGCTCTGAAAAGGAAGCTCTGCCAGCTTCCTGGTTGGTGATCACCATCAATGCACATGGGAGGGTACAACCCAACTCACTGCTGTCGAGTCGGATCTGAGTCATAGCGACCTCTCCTTGGGTTTCCAAGGCAGTATCACTACGGAAATAGATGGCCCAATCTTCCTTCCAAGGAGTGGCTGATGGGTTGGAACCACCAGCCTTCTGGTTAACAGTCAAATGCCTTTTGGGACATGGGATCTCTAAGTTGGGGATCATCCTAGGCCTCACCTTATACATTTCTTTATATTCTTTTTGTTATAAGAAAACTAAATCATAAATGTAGCACATTCCTGATTCTGTGAGTTGTTCTAGTCAATCATTGTATCTGAAGTAGTAGTTGGACCCAGCAGATCAGAAGTGATAGTGTGGAGATTCTCAAGCTTGCAGCCAATATCTGAGGTCTTGGCCAGACTTGGCAGTATGGAGCACTGTGTCCTTTAACTTGTGAGATCTCATCTACCTCTGGGTGGTTAAGGTCAGAGGAAGAAGTACCAAATGTGCAGCTGGTGTCTGAATAGAAATGGAATAGAGAGGAACAGAATTGATATGAAATTGATTTGTACTGATCAACACTTCAGTGTTAGAGAAATGGAATTTGATTTCTAAGCACTGCTAGAAAGTTTTGTGTTGATTTTTATTAATGTTGAAGTGTGGTTTATGAAATGAGTAGTCATTATGTAAGTTTAAATAAAATTGATCTCCTTAAAGAAAAGGAATAGCCACAGTCT